CTTCTTCTAACTCTTCTTCTTCGTCTTCGTCTTCTTCTTCTTATTTCGTCTTTTTTTTTTTTTAGTCGTGCTTTCTTCTTCTTCTTCTTCTTCTTCTTCTTCTTCTTCTTCTTCTTCTTCTTGAGAGAGAGAGAGAGAGGACGAAGACGACGATGTCCTGAAGCGGCGGCGACTGCACGGGCGATACGTGGCGCGTCGTGTACGGATCGCGTACGCGTGTACGGCGCGTACGTATGGAGCGTTCCGTTCGTACGGCCCGTACGCCTGAGACGACGAGGGGTCGAGACGAGCGCTGCGGGCCTTTTCCGGTGCGGCAGGAGGGGGGCGGGGGGGGGGGGGGAGCCTGAGAACGGCCGTGTACACTTCTAGGGGGCGCAGACGCAGTTGTTTGCTCGTGACTTTGCGGGGTGTGTACAATGGCACCCAGGAAAGGGAGGGGAGAGCAGCAGTTTGTCCCAGTCAATAAGGACAAACAAAGGGAGGCAGAGCTCAAGTTCTGCGGTTTCAAGCGGATCACAAAGGGGCAAACACTGACACACTCCAATGAACTGACATTTCGTTAAAATTGACATTTTTTACTATTTCACGAAATTGAACTTTGAAAAATTCGTCTATGTTTTTGTATGGAAACGAGTGACTTCCTTCTTTGCAGTAATGACTACCATCGCATTGTGATGGTATACCATATCCCATTAGATGGTAGGATCATCTATCACAGACCATGCACCACAACTATGGTATGGTATATCCTCTATCGTAAGAGTCCATCATACAACATACATCATCATATGGTACCCCCAGTTCACAACCACACTTATGTTTGAGTGACTTCCTTCTTTGCAATGATGAAGACCATACACCACAACTATGGTCCCTTATATCCTCTACCGTACGAGTCCATCATACAACACACATCATCAACGAGCAATATGAGTCCAAATGATATTATGCCAATGTCTTTCCTGAATTTCTTCAAAGGCTTTCCAATTCGTCTCCGTTTTCTTCGGTGTATAATAATATGAGAGGATACCCACAACCTATCGAAGGCTTTGAACTATTATCAGTTACGACAACATTGAACGAATACGATGCAATTTCAAATTTGCAACTCACGAAGCTATTGAGTCTATTGCGATTCTTTGTCTAATGCCCTGTATGTCGTCCATTGTGAAATTGAATGGTGGCACCTTGCCTCTCGCCAGAAGAGATGCATAAGTGAGCATGAACACTCCGCACTGACTCGTGTCCTCCTGTTTCGGAATGCCCTTCACTTCCAAAGTGTGTTCGAAGCATGATACGTCTATTGGTCGGCCCTGCTGCGTTGAGCGCTCTAGTAAAAATCGCGCGAAGTAGCCTGTCACCTGTTCAACTAACTTCGTGTTCGTATCCATTGAATTATAATACTCTATCACATTCCGTCGACGGTCGGCTGCAACAAGTGTCTAGTGTTTCTTTTTCGTATCGTGATATGGCACTAGAATCAACTCCGTGTCTGCTATGATGACATCCCAAAACCATCTAGCAACTTCGTCGTACTTATATTCCATGTTCTTGCCTAGAAGTTTAGTGAAAAAGTATGAGCTATATGCAGCTGTGACGGGGATCGTCCTCGTACTACATACATTGGACTTGTCAAACGGATTGTCACATTCCTGATGAAATGTTCTGCAATTGTTGTCATGCAGAATCATTTTCATGTAGAAATTCACAATGTTGTCGTTCAACCACTCATTCTCGTTCATGAGGACGCTGAAATCATGCACGGTGAATAACAACTGCTCTCCGGTAGCTTCATTCTTCGTGCTTGTCAATGTTTTCGTATTATTCAGCTCTATACTCATGTGACGTAATGCCTCTTCTTCGGTCTCATTGAGGGCGTCCGTTGCTAAGTGAATAGTCCAGCCATGTACACAGCTGCATTCGCATTCATTGCACTGGTTAACTGCATCACCGAACAACAATTTGAACTGTTTGTTGTTAATGTCTGTTTGCACTACGCGTCGGGGTGTGTTTTTATGTGTGTGTGCGCGCGCGTGTGTGTGTGTGTGTGTGTGTGTG